GCTCCATTCATCCCACTTGAACCATTTCTCGTTTATTTTCATTTTCAAATAACCTACCTTGACAGTATTACCTTTATTTCTTTCCTGTTTCGCCGTTGTTCTCAAATGTCGCTGTATTTTTCTCTCTTTCTCTGTCAAGTCATCATCAATATAAATTCCTCTTTTGAGGTTAGCTTTGTTCATCATAACTTGCTTTTTCATCTGCCAGTTTTCTAGCTTGGCTATAGTCATTTTGTATCTCTTTTCCCTATTGTTGTTATTTATTGTAAATGCTTTTTCCACTTTTACATCTGTGTTAATACTGTCCTTTAAATATTCCTCGACTTTTTCTTTTATGTTTTCTTCTGTAAACTCTTCTCCCTTTATAACAATATTTAGTTTTCTTTTTTCTCTCTCACCCTTTTCCCTGTCCCACTCAAGTTTCATCACTCTGTCTAGCAAGTTTTCTCTCTCGTTTTTCTAATTCTGCCTTTCTTGCTCCCACTCTTCTTCTTTTGCTTTCCACTGTCTTTCTAACTCATCTTTAATATTTTTTACATGTTTTTCAAACTTCTGTTGTATGTTCTCTTCCATTCGTGTCATTTTTTTACCAAACTTTGTTCCGAGTTCTTTGATCGCATTGAGCATTTTCTTTTCTAGATCTGCGTCTGTTTTCGGAGGCATTATAAAGCTATCGATTGTTCTATTATTTATCAAGCACTTGTTTCTCGTGATTATTGTTCTTTTGTCGGAATCACTGCTCATTACCTATCTGTTCCGAGTATATTTCATGTATTGTTTTGTCCGACCTAACCTCAAATGTTTTTGTTCGTCGTAATCATACTTATTACTTTTGTATCCTTGAATATTCAGACTATCTTTCTATTTTGTTTAATAGGGTTTTCTTTTAGTTTTACTATTTGCTCGTTTTCACTATTTCTATTAATGTTTAACTTTAATTGTTTAATAAAAATCACTCGCGTTTTTTCGCCACGTGCGTTTGTGCTCCTCGCTCAACCGGAAGTCAAAAAAAAAAAAAACATCAGTATTAATGCTACTTATTTTTAAGAGTTTTTTAGTTATCTATCAGGATCTGCCTGTCCTTCAGAATCGGAATCCTCCTCTAGGCTATGTCCTCCATTTGGTTCACTAATTTGTTTATCCAAAGTCAGACAATCAACGTCGTCGATGCGATTGTCTACTTTAGATTGCAAAGTATCGACGCTCGACATTATTTTGTCAACTTTTTTCATGAGCTCCTCCAACTTTTCCGGAGGAGTTAATTCCTTATCTTACTCTTCTTGTACTTACCAATCTTTTTTGGAAAAAATTTAACAGCGAGACTCGAAAAAACCTTGTACCTCGTAGCGCTCATGAGCTGAGAGAGGGGTGCGAGAAGGCGCCGCTAACGTTGTTTTTTGGGAATCTGAATTCGTGGATCTAGTGTAGCTGTCGAGGACATCTATGCATTGTTATAGTAATGTAGGAGAGCGAAGACAAATATAATAGTGTCCCACTTAATTCAGCTGTTCAGCTAATCAGATCACGAATAAACTGGCTTCATTTTGCTTGGTTCATTTATTTACAAGGAAAAAGGGGATTCTATTATTTCCATATCGAGCATTCCATGCATCAACCAATTACAATGCTCAATGTCGACGACTCTTCAATTTTAAGAGAGGATTCAAGCGAAAGTGAAATAATTAAATAATAATAGAGTCAATCATATTTACATTATTATAATCTGATACTTACTTTACTTATTCTTTGCGACTTGCGATGAATCAAGTTACGAAAGCGAAGATGATACGTAGTTGAACAATATTTTATTAACAAAGTTACAAAGGTCGTACAGTAAATTAAATAATGAGGTCTTATCGGTTTTACGGTTTCGTGAGATCTAAAAAAATGTGATATAGAAGTCTGAAGTCTATTCACGAAAACAAACGTTCATTCGAATAAAACAATCAATGATTAACGAGTTCGAATAAACATTTCCAATAAATTCCACGCCAAAGTCCAATATGTATCTGCTATACTACACATACGTATCAATACCACGTGAGTATCGCTCAGCCAGTCAGATCATGAATAGTTTGGGTTCACGTCACTTTTTTATAAGGGGAAATGCATAATACTAATATATTAACTAAGTTTCAATCTATAGAAGTATATATACCATTTAAAAAGCCTGGGAAATATAATTTCCGATTTTTTTAACAATCATTCATATAAATAAACATTATCAACGTTTTCTACTAATTATACAAACATTATTTGTCATAAATTATTAATAGTTGTCTATTTGCTTATTTTAGGGCTTTGGTGATACTGTACAAGATATAGAGGATTATCTAATTGATATTAGCGACGATGAAGAGTTCAATAACTTCGCAAATAACGAGAATGAAACGGTTGAATGTAGATTTCAGAGATTAGATGACATTATTAATGATGAAACTTATAACGAGCCTTTAAACTTACCGATAGGTGTCAGTCGAATAGAAATGATATTTGCTATCATGAAATATTGTAACAAATATCATATTCCAGCGACAGGAATTGTAGATTTATTTAAAATGTTAAATATGTTTATGGATAAGAAGATTTTACCAGATAACCGTTATCAACTCGATAGGCTATTTAATCCAGAAGAAGGTAGGGAGTATCACACGCTGTGTGCCCAGTATGTAAAGTCTACCTAGGAATATTTAAAAAAAGACAACTGTAATACTTTGCGAAGTTTGTGATAAAAATGTAAACTTGCAAGATGCTTGGTTTAAAGATTATTTTGTAATACTTGATCCAGTAGGCGAAATCCAAAATGTTATCGAAGCTAACGAAGACTTCTACATTGATGTCGTATCTCGACGTAATAAAGAAATAAATGTTAATTTTACGGATTTTTTCGATAGTCAAAGATATAAACAGTTTTTGGCATCGTTGCCTGATGACCGTAAAGAGAATTATATCACTATTACGTTAAATAGCGATGGGTCGCCAACTTTCAAATGTTCTAAATGTTCTGTTTGGCCGATTCAAATTCTTATTAATGAACTTCCACTAAATGTCCGATCTCCGAAAACAATTATTTGTGCAATGTGGTTTGGGCGTAATAAACCAAATATGACGTATTTCCTACGACCTTTTGTGAAAAAAATGAATGAACTTTCAGAAAATGGAATACCATGCAAATTAAGAAATAAAATTATAAATATTCATTTGTACGCGTTATGCTGTTGCGTCGATACTATTGCTCGTGCACCTATGCAAGGTATTATTTAATTTAATGGCTATTTTGGATGCAATTGGTGTTTGCACCCAGGTGTGTCTATTCGTCATAATACTGGATACTCAATAAAGTATATTATACTTGACGAACATCCTGAAAAACGAACGGCAGATACCACATTGCAGCTCATGCAGAGATCCGTTAAAGCAAACGCTCAAAGAGCCCAGCCGGGTAAGCATGTGAAAAGTGCCCTTAGACCTTTCGAAAAAGTGACAAAGCCGAATGTTCCGGCTTATAATGAAACTCCCTCTGCCAAATTTTCAGACCCATATTGACCTATAGGGCAAAATGGGACACTATTTTGTGGTTTTAGGTTTTTTGACAATAGCTCGGTTGGTTGTGAAGATACCTAAAAACTGTAAATACAAAAGTTGTAGGGTTTTTGAAGAGCTACAAACCTATAAACACCAAATTTTTTTTAGCGCGAAATTCAAATTTTTAAAAGCATTCGAAAATTCCAATTTCACGCCAATTTTGTCCATTCATACCTGCAACTCCGAAAAAAATCTTGAATGTTTCTCATAGATAGGAGTACATGTGTGAATTTTTTCAGATTTTTATAGGTGGTAGAAGGTACCTAAAAAAAAATAAAAACCACTAAAAACGAATAAAAAATCCAGTTTTTCGATTCTAGCTCTTTTTGGTTTCATTCCACGATAAAATCAATAGCGCCATCGTATTCTACGTTAAAAAATACGTCGAAAACATGCATAACACTTTTATCATCAGACCCATTACACCCTAAGAAATCGACGACTAAACTCCCAATCTTAGCCTGCCCACATGTAATACATGGAAAATCGAAGGTCGCACGTTTCATTGTCGATTTTTCATTACGCGGTAGAGCTAACGATGAAAGTATGATACATGTTTTCGACGTATTTTTTAACGTAAACACAATGGTGTAACTGGTTTTATGGTAGGCCTAATCCCGAAAACGATAAAAGCGAAAAACTGGTGGAAAGCAGCTGCTTTCCAGTAGTTTTTCGATATTTTTTTGACTATAGCACTTTTCAATTACATTCTACGATAAAACCAATCGCGCCATCGGGTTCTACGTTCAAAAATACATCAGAAACATACATCATACCTTTATTATTAGTATCATTATACGACGAGAAATCGACTATTAATCTCTGAAACTCCGTTGAAAGGCTGAACCCAATATTATTATTATTATTCCTGGCTACATGCATGACTTATGTTTACTACTCGTACCTTGATAATGATAAAAAAATATTATTTCCCTGTTCACGACGAAGTGCTAAATATTTTAGGATGTTCTTTGTGAAAAAAATCTGTAGGATTTTTCATCAGATTTTTGCACTATTTGGTACTGCGGCACTGTTGAATAAACCACGTAGTTTTAAAATCCCTATTACTTACTTTTATTTTGCACCCGAATCTGTCGAAGCTGTAAAGACCAAAAAAGTGTATTTCCTTATTTGGGAGTAAAATCTATGTAGTGTAAAAACATATTTGCTTCAGAATTTATATTTATAAAATCTTTAATTTAAGATGAACTAATAAGCTACATACATAATATAAATAATTATTTACATATCTGAATACTTTATACATTGCGCTCTCTGCTTTATAATCATCCCTCGTGAATAATATAATATCAAAACTCATTGCACGTTACCTACTTTTGCTAAAGGGAAGTAACGTCTATTCAATGTGTCTAAACAGTTAAATCTATAAACAAATAAATATCAGTGTTGAACAATCAATCTTCGTCGCTGTCGTCGTTGATGACGGGTGATACTTTTTCAACGGCAAAAATAGAGCTCAAGATTTCTGCAGGCTTTACTATTTTGGAAAGATATCTACCATGCGAAAGGTAATAAATAACAGCAGCAATGTGAGCACAGCAACCAATAGTGCGGTTACCATTTGCGCATTCACAGTAGTGTCCCCTAATGCCCTGATAGCCTATAGAATTTGGTCGGTAGTGTATGTAAGAATTATATGTTTTTCGACTGACGTGCCTCGATCTCACTTGGACTTTCAGAATTTCATTTGTTTCTTTTAAATAGTAAAGTTCAATTTTGTTATCTTCGCCCATCATTTCTGCCAGGTAAGATATGGACTGTTGCAATTGATACGTCCCAGTGAAAAATATTTTTAAATCTCTTTCTGTCAATTCTGGAAAGTCTAACAGTTGATCTGATGTTATTAACTGGAAAGGTATTTTTCTCCTACTCCAGTGACCAGTTTCAACTTCTGAAGCTAAAGTATTCTCCAAATTTCTCTGTTCAATCATACGCGAGACTATTTCATCTGTTAAAGATGGGTCAGTTATAAAACGCTTTCCAAACTTGTTCTGTAAAAAACAAGCTACTTTGCAATAGAGACCAGCTTTCGGCAACATTGTGTTGTAGAACTTATGTATTTATTCCCAATGACACCATGTACCAATTCAACTGGCCAACGTATAGCAGTAACAGAACGACTGTGGTTAGATTCTTCTGCTGTTAACTGATTACGTTTACCTTTAAGTGCTGGCATTAAAACTTTGAATCCTAATGTTTCAAGTTTCTCTTTAACGTCACGAAAGCCTCTATCAACGACCCATAGATCATTTTTTTGCATTAACTTTCGCAAACCGTTAGGATCTTCCATCAAACATTCCATTATTTGAGCATCGTTGAGATTAGCCTCAAATGGACCTGCAGAGTCAACAATATACCCATCTAAAGTACATATTGTGAACGGCTTGCACAATGGTACTTTTTTTTGTCCGGAAAAAGACTTTCTTTGATAGTTATTATTCGAACTTTTTTCGTGTCGAAGGTAAGTTCCATCTGCAATTAATGCCAATTCATTATCTTTGATGTCATGTAGTGCTTTAGCAACTGGAGTATTATGGTTTATTAACTCTTCTCTACTGATCACTCCTATTCCAAAACGTGTAGGTAGTACATCTTTTTCAAAAGATGTCAATATGGAATTACAAAAATCAGATACTTGTTGATCACGCTCGAGTCCTAGAACGGCGCAAATAATTTTGTTCGAATTACCACTGACCAGTTTAAACAACAGAACGACTAAAGCTTGTGTCACATTCCGAGAGACTGAATCTCTTAAAGATGTCATCATACCACGTAATTCAATTATGTTTTCCCAAGTCAACCCAGTCAGTACTATTAACCGTTCCTCCGGAAAAGTGAAATCTCCAACTTTATCATGAATTTCAGCATCTACTCTAACTGATAACTGTTCCAACAGTTTTGATAACTCTGTTACGGTAATTGTGCTAGTTGATGAATGAACTTTAATATTATCCAATTCACCTTGATAAAAACGGTTTTTAATAAGATGTTTACGACCACATCTATTACTAGCTGGTATAATATATTCTGTTATGAGCGTAGACTTGCATGCGAGCTTCAACTGGAACTTGAATTATTCCCGAAAGTAGCTTACATAAGAAACAATATGCATGAGTACATATTGTTCTCTGAATCGGCATCTCAATTAGTTCTACCGGTTCTTGTGGTTTTGGTTCTGGATATACAACTTGTGACCCATCCATGGATGATGATTGCGATGATGATGCGAGTTGAGAGTCAATAGAAGATTCAGGAGTTTCTTGTTTAGATGGATCTTGCTTGCTCTTCTGATGTGAAACTAATCGAAGCTTTGAATAACATTTTGAACATAATTCCACATTCATATCTACGTTTTTGCCAAACGCTTGAAGAAAATTTGATAAGTCGTCCTCTGTATCCAATGTTTTTATGTATCCAGAAGCTTTGTGTAAATATATATCGCATCCTGCACACTTCTGATATTTTTTTCTTTTAATTTCTTCTTCCATAGTTCCCTGTAATAATAAGAGATTTAAGTTACAAACTATGAGAAAACATTCTAATGCGAAAGTTTAAAATGTAAAATTATTCAAAGAATCTTGTTTTCATGAAAATACTATGCGAGAAAAAATAATCTATAAGTAAAACGTCTGAAGTTTCATTTGATTTCAAGCAATCTTATAACTATAAAAATAAAGATTGGGCTCGTTACAATCCATTATATAAAAATATAATAGCCGCGAAGCTGCGACAGCGCCAGACTCTCATTACAATAAAATGACAATACCGGGCTTCTTTGAAAATCATTTAATTTTTTTCTTTCTTTTACGGGCACGAAATTCATGTTTTCGAAAGTCAAATTGATAGCTTAGACCTATTAGCCAGAAAAGTAGTTTTAGAAAGTTATTTATGTCAGAAGATATTTACAGATGTGCTAATTTTTTCGTGAGATCAGATTTTTGTCTCTTACTATATAGTATATGTCTCGTATTTTTCACGTATATTAAGTCCATTCATATGATCGCGTATGAGCTGCGTGCCGCATAACGTAATCTACAAATATATGCTTCTCATGCAGATTAAATAGCTGTTTGTTTTATATGCGACCTGAAGAGCTTTCTGGCATGAACTGTTTCGCCTGTGTGTATGTGTGTGTGTGTGTGTGTGTGTGTGTGTGTGTGTGTGTGTGTGTGTGTGTGTGTGTGTGTGTGTGTGTGTGTGTACGGGGGAGGGAGGTTCGTTTTGTACTAATAGTAGTGTACTAATAGTACTTAAGGCTCTGTTGCCGTTACCGACTGAGCAAAATAAGTTATTCAAAGTTTTCTCTTAAACAAATAAATGAATCAAGCTGAAACTTTTTAGGGACATTCATTGTGCATAAGCGAAGGGTGCTCAACTCTTCTTTTCATGAAAATTTCCATGGAAATCGAGAAAAGAAATAAAAACTAGAAGTAGTTTTCCCTTTTTTTCCATCGATTTCCATGGAAATTTTCATGAAAAGAAGAGTTGAGCACCCTTCGCTTATGCACAATGAATGTTCCTAAAAAGTTTCAGCTTGATTCATTTATTTGTTTAAGAGAAAACTTTGAATAATTTATTTTGCTCAGTCGGTAATGGCACCAGAGCTTTAACTACTATATTTCATCTATAAGGTAGGTTCCTAGCGAAATTTTTATTATTTCAATTTTTGCACCTAGGATATTGAAACTTTGCACATATATTCTTTGGATAAAAACTAACATTTTAAATACTTGCTCAATTTCCTTCAGGTTTTGAAACTCACTCTGTAGGCAATTTGAGTTTCTTACCAAGCTTCATTTCAAAATATTCCATACGCATATTATTTTGGCTAAGATAGCTCTCAAAAGCTTATTACCTTTAATGAATTAAGCCTTATAAAAGTTTCTTAAAATATTTACTAAAACCTATATCAAATTGAAATAAGCCACGGAACGTGAATTAAATCTGAAAAGGTAGTGGAAAATCGACCTTTTGCAACATTTCATAGCTTATTTCAGTTTGAAAGAGGCTTCAGTAAAAAATTTTTAATTATTTTTTATAAGGCTTCCTTCATCGAACAAAATAATCCCTCAAACAACTGCTTCAGTCAAAGTAGTGTGCACATAAAACATTTAATATAAAAAATAAACAATCAAACTTACATGTTCATAATTTAGAAGTATGGTAATAGGATGAGATTCAGGTCAAAAGATTTGTCTTATAAAATAGAACAAGTGATTTGGAAATCCTACATAGGAAACTTGTATGATTAAAAAAGTGTTGGAGAAAAAGTATGGAAAATTACACGAGCAACTCACCTTAAATAAACAGCTTTCAGTATAATTCACTACAATTTTTTATAAGTAGTAGTGAAAAACCAAAGAAAAGCAATTGGTATTTTTGTTTGAATTAACTAACTAATTAATAATTAGCTAATGAGCGTCACAGTTTGAATCCGTAATGATTTTACTAAAAACTCCTTAATGATTTTTTAGACAGATATTAATGTAATTCAAAAGCATTTATTTATATGCTTTATTATATTTATCCATCTTTTTAAGCAATAACGATTCATGTTGAATGCAATGAACAATTAGTTTGTCTTGAGCTTAATAATATATATAAGTTATAAATTGCATACTGTTTACGGCATGAATATTGCAATAGCAAGAATCATATGGGATATCAATTCAATTTGCATGGTCAAACAAATAAAAGTATAACAAAATTATTCATTCATCACCTACAATGTACGTTGTTACATGCTTAAAAATATTGAAAATTCAAGCAAAGTGGTCATAACTAAATATTTGGAAAAGAAAGATAGGCTTGACTAAATTGTCACATCATTACGAGAGAAATCCAGGACAATCTTTGATTTTATTTACGTAAATATGTGCTTTCAACAATTAAATTATTATGTTCAAACCAGTGACTTTTTATTGATACTCTATAAATAATGTTATGAAATTATTGAAATCATAATATCCATCACTTATGTTTACATTTATGATAATTAGCAATAATTGGTATACAAAAATTAGTTGAATTACTTTCTTAACATAATGATATGATGATGTGAGTACATATAGAAGAATATATAAATTTCAATAATCCTAAATTATCTACTACCTTAAAGAATTCAATAATTCTCTGTTAGTCGAAGCTTATTGATTATATTATATGATGCAAATATTCACGTTCTATAAGAAAAAAACATATATTTGAAATAATCTGTTTATTGAGCAATTATGATTCGATATTAATATTTAATTTTTCAATATTAAAAGCAACTTTCAAAAATATATTATCATTTATTGCAAATATAACTCTAATGATATTTGATATCACACTTACATCTACCTTAATACAATCATTAGGCTATTCTAGATTGTTATAAGATTTTTATAAGATTTTTATAAGATGCCTTGTTAGTACTATATATACCATGCCTTGTTAGTATTATATAATAAATTACAACACATTAATGTAAATGAAAAAAAGTATTATTATTAACCTATGCTCACTCTCTATAACTTCTATTTATTTATCCATAAACGATGAACGATGAACAATTGATACTAAAATATTCAGTGCCCTCGTAAGATACGGCTCAGTGATTATCCATAACATACAGATCAGTACCTTTTGTCCCAACTTTCTTTATGCTCAATTAAGTATATTATGTATATAATATGAATAATAAATACACAGAACACAGAAAAGAAGTCAGAACTCACTCATGTCAACTCATGTCCATGTTTCATGTTTCTGACTAGACCTACAGACCGTGCTGCATACAGACCCAAGCGCTCGTAGCGCTATACGGTTTATGGCGAATTCATAAACTATCAGCGGTGAGAATCGAGCACGGTAGTATAGACAGGTCCGGAGTATCTCGTGGAGGAGGAGGTTCTTTTAATGTGGCAAGGTATCGTTTTGCAAATGGCCACCAGGGCAGCACTGCGATCGAATAGTCGATGGAATACCGTTGATTTGAGTTTTGGAAATATTTAAGTTTTCTATCACTTTTAAAAATCCTAGAATTTTTTGCACTTCGTCGTGAACAGGAAAATAATATTTTTTTATCAGAGATGCGGGTGCAAAATAAAAGTAAGTAAAAAAGATTTTGAAACTACGTGGTTTATTCAACAGTGCCGCAGTACCAAATAGTGCAAAAATCTGATGAAAAATCCTACAGATTTTTTTCACAAAGAACATCCTAAAATATTTAGCACTTCGTCGTGAACAGGGAAATAATATTTTTTTATCATTATCAAGGTACGAGTAGTAAACATAAGTCATGCATGTAGCCAGGAATAATAATAATAATATTGGGTTCAGCCTTTCAACGGAGTTTCAGAGATTAATAGTCGATTTCTCGTCGTATAATGATACTAATAATAAAGGTATGATGTATGTTTCTGATGTATTTTTGAACGTAGAACCCGATGGCGCGATTGGTTTTATCGTAGAATGTAATTGAAAAGTGCTATAGTCAAAAAAATATCGAAAAACTACTGGAAAGCAGCTGCTTTCCACCAGTTTTTCGCTTTTATCGTTTTCGGGATTAGGCCTACCATAAAACCAGTTACACCATTGTGTTTACGTTAAAAAATACGTCGAAAACATGTATCATACTTTCATCGTTAGCTCTACCGCGTAATGAAAAATCGACAATGAAACGTGCGACCTTCGATTTTCCATGTATTACATGTGGGCAGGCTAAGATTGGGAGTTTAGTCGTCGATTTCTTAGGGTGTAATGGGTCTGATGATAAAAGTGTTATGCATGTTTTCGACGTATTTTTTAACGTAGAATACGATGGCGCTATTGATTTTATCGTGGAATGAAACCAAAAAGAGCTAGAATCGAAAAACTGGATTTTTTATTCGTTTTTAGTGGTTTTTATTTTTTTTTAGGTACCTTCTACCACCTATAAAAATCTGAAAAAATTCACACATGTACTCCTATCTATGAGAAACATTCAAGATTTTTTTCGGAGTTGCAGGTATGAATGGACAAAATTGGCGTGAAATTGGAATTTTCGAATGCTTTTAAAAATTTGAATTTCGCGCTAAAAAAAATTTGGTGTTTATAGGTTTGTAGCTCTTCAAAAACCCTACAACTTTTGTATTTACAGTTTTTAGGTATCTTCACAACCAACCGAGCTATTGTCAAAAAACCTAAAACCACAAAATAGTGTCCCATTTTGCCCTATAGGTCAATATGGGTCTGAAAATTTGGCAGAGGGAGTTTCATTATAAGCCGGAACATTCGGCTTTGTCACTTTTTCGAAAGGTCTAAGGGCACTTTTCACATGCTTACCCGGCTGGGCTCTTTATGGTGTGAAAATTGCAACTCCTTTGTTGCTTTTGAATAGCTTTGACATAATTGATGGTTTTGTTCCATGCCCAATGCACCGTGTGGATCTAGGTGTAGGGAAACAATTTTGCAACTATTGGTTTGCCTCGTCCAATGAGCCCTATACTGTACCTAAGATTAAAATGAGTACTATCAATCAATTTATATCAAACATCAAAGTGGTCACACACTAGTACGGTTATCACGTTGTTTAAGTGATCGAGCGTTTTTGAAAGCTGTTGAATGGTTCAACTGGATTCTATTTTATAGTCCGCCAATATTAAAATTAATAGCAGATGAATTTCCACAGTTTGAACCACATATGAATCATTGGTTTCTTTTTGTACGAGCTTACTATATATTATTACAAACCAAAATCACCGTAACAGAGTTAAAAAGAGCAGATTATCTCTTGAAAAAATTTGTTTTCGAAACGGAACTTCTTTACACACGCGATGCGATGACATATAATGTACACCA